GTCATCCTCCTCCCCACCGCCGTACAGGTCTGCCAGCTTCTTGAAGCGGCTGCCCCACTCGTTGAGGTAGTCGTAGTCCTGGTCGTGGTCGGAGGAGGAGGAGTTGAGGGAGCTGAGGGAGGTGGCCTCTGAGCCACTGCCCTCGTAGTCGAACACCAGCAGGGAGTCGTAAGGGGGGGCCGTGGGGTCTGTGTCGGCTGCCTTCAGGTTCTGGGTGAGGAGGGAAGAGGGGTCAGTGCCTGTGTCCCCTGGGCTGGGGGATGCCCTCATGGTGCTGGCATGGATCAGGGGCTTCACTCTCCCAGTCCTGCCTGGAGCACCGCCTGGGGCCAGGGCTCACCTCATCGATGAAATTCCCAATCTCATCAGGGTTGGCAGGACGGGGCCGGTACTGAGGGGCAGCCATCAGCGGGGGTGCCACGTCGTTGCGGATCACCTCAGGGCGGGCGTCCAGGCCGCGGTGAAGCTGACTCAGGTCATAGTCCTGTGTGGGGATGGAGCAGGGAGGACATGAGGAGACAATGCTCAAGGGATGCCACGGGGACCACTATGGGAAGGACCAAAGGGAGCTGACAGGCAGGGTCTGGCCCAGCACAGTCAGCCCACCTGGTCCTCCTCTCCACCACCCTCCTCGTCGTAGTGGTAGACATTGTCCCGCATGTCATCCTCAGGCGGGAGCAGCGGCTCCTTAAACCCCTTCCTCCTCCTGGCGAAGAGCGGCAGCAGCAGCAGCAGGACTGCGAGCACAGGGCACCACGTCAGGGTGGCAGGGTGAGTGTGACCCGTTCCCATCCCCATCCTGTCCCTATCCTGTAGTACTCACTGAGCAGTGCCAGGATTCCCCCCAAGATGCCCAGGATGGCGGGGACACCCAGCCCACTGGCGATGAATGCTCGCCGCTCGCAGTTCTTGGCTGGCCCTTCACAGTCACAGACCTGAGCTTTGACCTGTGTCACCTGCGACTTGCTTTGGCCATCCGTCAGCTTCAGGTAGATGCTGTACTCCCCCGGCTCCAGCTCCTTCACCAGCTTCAGCAGCAGCTGGTCTGGCAGCCAAGAGAGCAGATGGGCTCAGAGAGGCATCC